ATTGTTTTTAAATAAATTTAATCTGTCAAAGAACACGTAAAAATTTGGGGTCACTTTAGTACGTGGGTCCCGGAGTTAATATACAAATGTTATAACATTCGAAAGAGCTAGTCGAGCTGAGTCGAATGCCACCAAAATTAGCTCTAGGAAAAATTTTTGAACCGAGATATAGGCCCCTGAAGTTTGAAAAACCATAGGGGGGACCAAGCACTTTTTTGGGGTGAAAAATTCGAAAATGCAAATTATACATCATTCGAAAGAGCTCCTCGAGCTGAGTCGAATGACACCAAAATCAACGAAATCCGACTTGAATAGACAAAGTTATGATCTTGTCTTTTAGCTCCTTACCTATGGCATCTGTGGAGATTTTTGCTGCTACGGAGGCCCCAAATACGTCCAGAGCAAGGGAGATAGGAATAGGTTTATGTTACGAGCCCAGACCCATCGCCCGTAGATTCCCCGCGAGGCGCGTGCCGCAAAACCCCGCGCGAAGCGCGGGGTTTTGCACAAGCGCCTCGCCGACGCTCCATAGGTTTAGGTTTTTTGTGTCATAACTTTGTCTAATCTTGTTCAATCACGGTGATTTTGGTGTCATTCGACTCAGCTCGTCGAGCTCTTTCGAATGAGGTATTATTTTTGTAAAAAAATTTTTATTCCAAAAATCGACCCTTTGGATTTTCGGTTTTTAGGGGCCTATATCTCGGTCCAATCAAGTCGGATTTCGTTGATTTTGATGTCATTCGACTCAGCTCGAGGAGCTCTTTCGAATGATGTATAATTTGCATTTTCGAATTTTTCACCCCAAAAAAGTGCTTGGTCCCCCCTATGGTTTTTCAAACTTCAGGGGCCTATATCTCGGTTCAAAAATTTTTCCTAGAGCTAATTTTGGTGGCATTCGACTCAGCTCGACTAGCTCTTTCGAATGGTATAACATTTGTATATTAACTCCGGGACCCACGTACTAAAGTACAGCCAAAAATTTAAAAAAGAAAAAATCGACGCAAAAAATCCACCTCGTGAGAAAATAGTACAAGATAGACAAAAAATAAAATAACACTACGTCATTATAACGTGTTACCCAAAAGAATTCCAAAATACCGAAACAGAATGTTTTTAACTTTCAAATATTATAACATAACAACAGTAACTCAAACATATCTTCTATGATATCTTCCAAATCATTATCTTCATTTTTAACCTCCTTTCTTTTTCGATACTCCAACAGTGCGTCCTTTACGACCAGTAGTCTTTGTATGTTGTCCACGTACACGAAGACCCCAATAATGACGAAGACCACGATGAAGACGAATTTTCTTCATGCGCTCAAAATCCTCTCGGTATTTACTCTCCAAGTTGGTCGACAAGAGCTGTAAAAGAAAAATTGACCAAAAATCCAAAAATAGTCACAAAAAACCTGAGAATTCTTCCCATCACGAATATCCTTTTGACGGTTCAAAAACCACGCAGGAATTTTGTATTGCTGTGGATTAAGCATAACAGTGTTAAGCTTTTCCATTTCTTCTTCAGAAAGTTCACCAGCGCGTCTGTGAATATCAACATCGGCTTTACGGCAAACAAGAAAAGCATAACGACGTCCAACACCCTTAAAATTTAGTTGAGATTAATTTAAGAAAATTTAAACCTTTATCGCAGTCAAAGCATACGGAACTTTTCGGTTACCGTCAATATTCGTGTTCATAACACGATGAATATGTTGAAACTTCTCCGGCACGATTAACGACATTTTGCACTAAAATTTAAAAAAAAATGACCGAAAATACTTTCAAAAAGTATGAAAATGAATTAGTAAAGCCTTAAAAACCTTCCGGAAGAAATAAGTAAAGTTACAGAAAAATTTTTAGTGTTCCCTTATTTGACCAAAAACATATTTTACCAACTAGGGTAAAAATTCTCGTTTTGCCAACACATCTTGTTGACAAAATGTTCATTTTTAGCCTTATTGGCAAAATATGTATTTGTAAAATATTATAAAGCTTAATTTTTATGTCTCGATCTCTTCTTATCCAACGCTATTTCCCATTGTTTTATTTCTTTATCGTCTCACTTCACTATTTCTCTAAAGTTTATTAAAAATCGTTTCAAAAAATTTTTTTTAAAAAAGATTTGCAGTCTTTGCAGCTTTAAACCCCCACTTTTATAATTTACGCTTACTTTTAAACGAAAAACGCCATCTTTTATAATATTTTACCCAGTTATAAATTAAATAATTGAATATTTTAATTTAATTTTTCTTCCTTTTTTTTTAGAAATTTTGACTATTAAAAAATTTAACAAAATTCAAAAAGAAAATGGGAAGTAAGTCTTTTCTATCTCAACTTTAAAAATAAAATATTAATTTTTCTAGTTAAATTCCTGGAATTTGTTAAACCTTTTTGTGGTTTTGTGCCAGAGGTTTCTAAACCTGAAAGGAAAATTCAATTCAGGGAAAAGATGCTTTGGACTGCGATAACTCTTTTTGTTTTTCTTGTTTGCTGTCAGATTCCACTTTTTGGTTTGTTGTTTATTTTTTGTTAATTTTTATAAAGATAGGAAGGAATTAAATTTTTTAACATAGGCAAACTAGGCACGATCCCATACTGGATTTTACTGGAATCTGACCTGAAATCCCGAGGTTTTAATCGACGAGCGTGTTATCGTGATTACCCGATTATTCCCGCGGGATCCTGTCCCATTCGACTTTTGCAAAAAAAATCCCGTTACGTGATCCTGGAGATGCACTTTTATCGACCCCTAGTCAAAATTTTATCACAAAAAACATGTCCCATCTTTCAAGGGTATTTTTCTTATTTAAGGTATCATGTCCACTGACAGTGCTGATCCTCTTTATTGGCTTCGAGTTATTATGGCATCTAATAGAGGAACGCTTATGGAATTGGGAATCTCTCCAATTGTAACTTCTGGTCTTATTATGCAACTTTTGGCGGGTGCAAAAATTATTGAAGTTGGGGATACTCCGAAGGAAAGAGCTCTTTTTAATGGTGCTCAAAAATGTAAGCGCTTCTTTTTCTTAAAGAGACACGTCAATAAACTTTTAAGTGTTCGGAATGGTCATAACTATCGGTCAAGCTATTGTTTATGTTGCCTCTGGAATGTATGGAAATCCTCATGAAATTGGTGCTGGAATTTGTCTTTTAATTGTTATTCAATTAGTTGTTGCTGGATTAATTGTTCTTTTACTAGACGAATTACTTCAGGTTTTTCTCTTAAAATTTTCACTCCTACTCAAAAATCGTTTAGAAAGGCTATGGACTCGGTTCAGGAATTTCCCTTTTTATTGCTACAAACATTTGCGAAACTATTGTTTGGAAAGCATTTTCGCCTGCGACAATGAATACAGGTCAGAATCTTATTTTCCTTAGACTTCTTTAACCCCTATAAATTTAAGGAAGAGGAACCGAATTTGAAGGCGCAATTATTGCTTTGTTCCATTTGTTGGCAACCCGTAATGACAAAGTTCGCGCACTTAGAGAAGCTTTTTACCGTCAAAATTTGCCAAATTTGATGAATTTATTGGCTACTGTGCTCGTTTTTGCGGTTGTTATATACTTTCAGGTTTCTTTCTGCTCTCTTAATAACCCCAAACTTTCTATTTTTTATAGGGCTTCCGTGTTGATTTGCCAATTAAAAGTTCTCGTTATCGTGGCCAACATAGTTCATATCCAATCAAATTGTTTTATACAAGTAATATACCCATAATTCTTCAATCTGCTTTGGTCTCCAATTTATACGTTATTTCTCAAATGTTGGCAGCCAAATTTGGAGGAAATATTCTTGTTAATATACTTGGTACATGGTCTGACTCTTCAGGAACTTATAGGAGTTATCCAACAGGTAAGATTTTTTGGAAATTTTTTATAGAAGTCCGATACTTTTTGGCTATTCCGCCCCTATATCCAAAAAATTATCAAAAACATTTTATTTCTAGGAGGCATTTGCTACTACCTATCACCACCAGAATCATTGTCTCATGTAGTTGAAGACCCAATTCATTGTTTTACCTACATTGTCTTTATGCTTGGTTCCTGTGCATTTTTCTCAAAAACCTGGATTGATGTTAGCGGTTCAAGTGCTAAAGATGTTGCAAAACAATTAAAAGAGCAACAAATGATAATGAGAGGACATCGGGAAAAATCAATGATTCACGAATTAAATCGTTATATTCCTACCGCTGCTGCTTTTGGTGGGTTATGTATTGGAGCACTTTCTGTTACTGCTGACTTTATGGGTTTGCTTTTTTCTAATTTTTTGGGGGTTTAAAAAATTTTTTTCTCTAGGAGCTATTGGAAGTGGAACTGGAATTTTACTTGCGGTCACCATTATTTATCAGGTTTTCTTTTAAAAAATGACTGAATAAATAATTTTTATATTTTTCCCAGTATTTCGAAATATTTGTGAAAGAACAGCAAGAAATGGGTGGCGTTTCTGGTTTATTCTTTTGAGTGATTTTTATGTTTTTTTCTATTATTATTATTTTATTGGGAGAAGAGAATTCATTAAAAAAGCATATATTTTTTGGTATAAATTTTATGGTGATTAAACACCTTTTCTGTTCTGCTCTCATTAAGAAAACTTTTCCCAAATCTTAATTTTTGACCCTTTCCTTTAAAAAATTCCTTTATTACTAAAACCCTATTTATTGGCTCCTTTTTAAAACTGAAGCAAATTTCAAATTAAAAAATTGTGAAAAAGAAAGGAAAGCTCTAAGAAAGCAGGACATATCGGGATATTTGTTTTCAGAAAATACATTTCCTTATTTAAGAAAACTAGATTCTAGCATCAACTTAAATACGCACAAGGGTATTTTGGTCACCGCAATCCGGATATGTCTGTCCCAATATGTTTCCCTACTAGCTCTACCTGCTAGATTTTCAATCAAAAAATGTTTTTCTCTAATTCAAATTCATGTATTATATTTTAGTGTTATATTTTCTTGGCATTTCCTTACATAAATATTATTAGTAAAAATATTTTTTGGTTTTTTATGTTTTACTATAAACTACTTTTCCGAATTTAATTACTTTTTCTATAACTGATTGATGTGCCGACAATCGGTAAATTATGTGTTCCCATTTATTTGTGTTCAAAACAATTAAATCAGCTACTCGACCCTCCTTTAAAAATACGGAAAGTCGAATAATTAAAAAAAATAAACAAAAAATTTACCGAAATTGCACCATGTGTTTTTCCACGTCCCAAGCTGTGTGCTGCATGTAAAGTTGCTGCCACCAATGCCTCCGGCATAGACATTCCAAAGTTAACACAAGCCAAATTCATTATTGTAGGCATTGAATAGCAATAAGCATTGGGATTGAAATCTGATCCAAGAGCTACACAAACACCAGATTTAATCATTTTTCTTACTGGAGGATTTTTTAGTTTGAGGACATAGGCAGTAGATGGAAGGAGCACAGCAACAGTTCCAGATTTAGCAAGTGCATCTATCCCTTTCTCACTAATTTCTTCCAAATGACTGACAGCAGTGGCCTTTGTAAAAAAATTAGAATTTTTCTTATTTTTTAATCCCTCAATTCTTTTATTGTTTCCCGCCGCAGAACTCGTTCTAGATTCTTTTTCTCTCGGTTTAATGCTCATCTCCTTTTTACACTCCAATTAATAACAAGGGGGGTCAATTCTGATCATCTTTTTTTCAAAAACAAGAAAAATTGAAAAGGCACATCAACGTCCGACGTACTTTTCTTCTGTAAAAAATGGCAGCGGGAGGAAGGATGATTTTCCCTCCTATACATGTTTCCAGCTAAAATAAAGGGAGCATGAACTACGAAAAAAATGACCACAATTTTAGTATCCAAAAAAAGATGGTGGCTGTGGATTGCTGTTCTTCATTCATTCATTGTGCCCTTTCTTCTAATCTGTCATTTTCTCGTAATTTTCTTCCCGGTCATTAGCTTTCTTCACTTTCTTCTTAAATTCGCTTCCAAGATATATTTTTTTCTTAATCCATTGAAGAATTAAAAAAAGGAAAAGAATCGAAAATCCAAACTTTCAGGTAACTATATTTTCCTCGAAGAAAAAAATTTTTAGAATAGCATTAAAACACTCAATCTTTAATATGCAAAGGCAATATTCATTAATATTTATCTTGTTAATTTTTCTCAACCTTTCCGACCTCGGATTAACGCAAAAGCAACGAGTAGATGGGGGTGGAAACAGTAAAAGTACCTTCATACAGCAACAACCTCAACAGCGTTTTCAACAACAACAACAATTCCAACAACAGTACCAGCAGAATCAGCAGCAATATCAACAGCAACAACCCAAATACTACAGCTATGATAATGGGATAAACGACAATGGACGATCCACACAATGGTACTATTTTCCTCAACAGCAACAACAAGAAAATTATTTTCCTCAACAATACAATCCTCAACAAAATGTCAATCAACAACAACAACAATTCTATTCTTATTCTCCCTCCTCTTCCACTTCATTTGCTTCACATGCCCATGGAGTACCTCAACTACAAGCAGCACAAGGGGCCGGTGGTCAATATGGGAATAGCATCAATGCTATAGGTACTGACAGTCAATTTCAACAACAATCAATCAACCAATTTGGGCAACAACAAGGTGGAGCAGTACACCAACAATTAACACAATTTAGGGAAGCTGGTCAACAATTACCATCGGATAAGGGAGGGGGAGTAAATAGTCAAGTAGGAAGCAACAATAATCAACAACAATTTTATTCTTACACAACATTTCCCCCATTAACTCTTCCCCCACATCCTCCAACATTTGCAACTATGATGCCTTCATTTTTCCCAACACCACCCTCACAACCTGTATATGATCATGCTTTAGCACAACGAATGCATAAACAACCATATTTATATAATTTTGATTTTGCACCAGGAACCCCAGTTATTTATTGTGCTTATGGAGCTAATCCAATTCCTCGTTATAATACTCTCTACAAAAAATGCATTCCTTATCATCCACTTTGTGGAATTACTTTTACGGTTAGAAAAAAAATTTTTTCCAAAAATTTTTCAAAAAAATATTTTTCTAGTGTATTTTTGATGTTGATCCAGAAACTGGACATGTTTGGAATCATGCAGCGGAAACAAAAAAGAGGAAATAAACTCTCTAACCTATATAAACTCTAATCTAATTTATACTCTTTTCTCGTTTAAATTTTAAAAAAATTTGTTGTAAAACCTCACCTTAATTTCTGCTCCCATTTCAGCACCACCCAACGGAAAAAGTTCATCAGCATGAAAATTAGGGCGTAATCCAATGCTATTGCTGGCCGCTTCCAAAATTTGTCGACTTAAAAAAATATTTTCAAAAAAATTTAAAGAATTTTTAGGACAGAAAAATTTCAGAAATACTCCCATATAGGGTTGTCGGTTCGAAAGAGAGTCAAACCCCGAGGAAATCAAGAAAAGTTAAGAATATCCGAAGATTTTTGAAAAAAGAAGGAACCGTCAAATTCACTACCAAAAATCGAAATAAAGCTCAAGGGTCGAAATCCCGTCATTTAAAATTAAAAATTAATTTTTAAAAAATTAAACCTGCTTTCCAATTCAAAAACATTCTTTTCACAAAAAACATCAACATTTTCAAGACATTCAAGTTTTCCACTTTCTTTCAATTTAATTAATACTGGAATCATTTCATTAATAATTATTTTTGTTTGTTCCTCTTCTGTCTTATTTTTTGGAATTGCATGGGCTCCACAAAATGTTGAAGAAATTTCCAAAGGAAAATTTTGACAATTCAGAGCATTTTCAAAAACTTGCAAAATTTTTATTTCACTTTCTGTAGTTAATCCATAACCACTTTTTGCTTCAATTAATGTTGTTCCACATTTTGACATTTCTTTGGCAATCTTAACAAATTTTTTTAAAAAATCTCTTTAATAAAAATAACCTCCAAAAAACTAGACAGCAATTCATCTTCACTAGCCTCTTTAGTTTTTTCTGTTGTAAAATGTATACCACCACCAGCAGCTTGAACCTTAAATTTTTTTTACAATTTTCTCTTTCTCAAAAAATATTACCTCCATATAAGTAGCTCCATCCAATTTCATTGCAAATTCATCAACTCTATCGCCAGCAAATACAGGATGTGTATGGGCATCAACAAAGCCTGGAAGTACACATCCACCATGACAATCAACAATTTGGCAATTCCTAAGTTTCTCTTGAATAATTTTCGTACAATTAGCAGTCTTAAAACAAAACAATTAATAATAGAATTTAAATTATAATTAATATAAAAAACCTTTTCACCAAGAAAAATTTTATTAATCTTTCCATCTTCACAAAAAATTGACAAATTTGAATTTTTATCTTCCAACACCTTAAAGAAAAAAAAAATTTTTTTTGAAAAAATTTTTTGAGATTTTAAAAACTTGCTTTGATCTTTTTCATGTCATCTCCAAGTAAAACACATTTATCATCATCAACAATTTGAACAATTTGTGAGATATTTTTGAGAAGAATATTGCCACCACCATTGCAATTCAAATTGCAAGTATTCATTTAAATAAATCTTTTGTCCAAAAGCAAATTCAATTCATTAATAATGTAAAAAAGTCCTAATGCCCTCATATCAATCGATTTTTATGACAGCAGCGTTTTATCAATAACGCTATCATCTCGTGAAACGTTAAAGTCATTAAAAATTTCATTGAAAAAATTCAAAAAAAAAATTTATTTTTTAGAACATCTAATCTACAAAAAAATTTTTTAAAAATAAATAAATTTTTAATAAAATCAAATCTTTTCAATATTCATTATTATGCATACGTGAGATCAGAAGTGAAAGAACCACGCAAAATAAATTCATCATCTTGATGAGATATGTACCTAGAAATGGATAAAAATTGAACGATTTTAAGTAGAAAAATTGAAAAAAAATACACAAACATTCTTTGAGGCATCGGTCTTGATCCTGAACCGGGACGTGGAACCATAGTGCGAAGAATAATTTGTTTTCTAAATAAACGAAACAAAAATCAACTCAAATTAAAAATTTAACAGAATTCAAACCTTTTTGGTTCTTTCCAAACATCATTGTCAAAAAAGCTTTTTAAAACCTCCAAGACACGACATTCATTCAAATCAGGTATCAAAACATTATTTAATTCATTTTTAAGTGAAAGTTCATCTTTACATGTTTTTGGAATTGGACGACAAAGATTATTTACCAAAGAAGAAACACAAGAATTTAATTCCATTGATATGTTTGTTGTTATTGCCTTTATAGAAATGAAAAAATTAAAAATTTAAATTTTTATAAAAACCTGTTCTACAAGTAAATTAACTATTGATGAATATTTTAAGAGGAATTCTTCTATTGAACGAAGTGATGAAGTTAAATCCTTTGAAATTAGAAAAAATAATTAAAAGTTTAAAAAATAACTAGAGATGGGCCTGGATCCAGACCAGGGATGACCCAACCCCCACTTTTTTCTCAACCTATGACATCACTGATCCCTGATATTTCCTCGATCTAGAATCAAGATCAAGTCAATTACCAGTGTTCCTTGGGTTTTCCTTGACTCAAGGTCAATAATCTGTTCAGGGTCGTCACCAAAAATCAAGACCAAGGTTTTCTAAATTTTCGCCCTCTAATAATAAGCTTACATAAAAAACATCCATATCATAATTATCAGATTTTGAGGCATAAAGAAATTCACTCAATACACCTTCTAATTTTTCTTTTATTGAATATGTACATTCTGATGCTTAAAAAAGAAATATAAGAGCTCAAAAATTGATCAAAATTTAAATTTTACATTCTCGAATTAATACTTCAATTGTTTGAACAATTACAACAGGAAGGAGTAAATCAATTAAATCTTTGAGTTTGATGGTTGAAAAATATTGCAAAATCTATAAAAAAATTAAATATCAGAGAAAGGACCGATCAGTTCGAAACGATATTTCTATCAAAAACCCCGGTTACTCCCCATCCTGTCTTTAATTCAAATATAAACCTGTTCAACTTCCTTAGTTTCATTAAAAAGACGATTTTGTTTTGAGGCCGGAATTGGCCGTACCATACGCCAATTTTCTTGCCATAAATTTCCAGGCAATTTCATGCGTTCAGAAAGTTCACCTGAAAAATTTTTTTTAAATCATTAAAATAGGCTTGAAAACCATCAACAAAATCCCTCGGAGAGTGCCAACACAAAAAATCTTCCAAAACAGCTCCAGGATTTGCAGCCTTGAATGCCTGCATGTCAGAAAACAGCAAATCAGATTGTGCCCGATTTCGAAGATCAGAGTCTTCCAATTCAAGTAAAAATGATTCGTGCTTGTTTAATTGATCCTCCGTCATTGGGCCTTTGTTCTAATGAAAAAAATTTTCTATTGAAAAATTTAAAAAATTCACCAAAGTTAAAGGAATATAAATTCTTTCTTTCGGGTTATTCTTAAGAAATTGTGGCGGTTCTAAAAGTGCACTTCGGCCACGGGGAACATCAGATTTACTAATTGGTGCTTCACTGTTAAAATCATCGGGTGCATCGAAGAATTCATCATCGTCTAAAAATGGCCCAAGAATGAATAATTAACGAAACTGTGACGTCACCTTCATTTGACTGTCCACTTGATTGTTTAAAATCAAAATCAGAATGCCGACTTCTTTTCACAAAAATGCAGTGTTGAATCATTTGAAGTTTTTGATGCAAAAGGCAATGAGATAAATCTGGTTTTTCATCTTTCTCAAAGCTTTGAAAAGGAGTTAATTAGTAGTAACCCCCACCCTTTTGTCCCAGTTGTGAGGTGGAAATTTTATGGGTGTATTTCTCCCCACAACCATCTGTCCCATTTGAGAAGTAACTTTCCAATGTGTCCCGATTATAAGGTGCAAAATTTTATTGGTTGTATTTCCCCTACACTCAACTACCCCAATCTAGTAGTAATCCCCCTTTTGTATTGAGGGATGTGTCGGCAAATCAAAGGCCACCCTTTTGTCTCACCCTTTTGTCTCACTTAATTTTCCCGCACCACCCTTTTGTCCCAGTTGTGAAGTGTGACAATTTGTACGGGTATTTACCTTACCACCACCATGCCCCAATTGATAAGTAAATTTTTAACTTGTCTCAGCTGATAATTTTATTTGGTGAATTGTCCGACACCCAACTGTCCCAGTTGAGAATTAAGTTTCCAAGATGTCCCACAACATATCCCAGTTGTGAAGTAAAATATTTTATGGGTAAATTTCTCCCACACTCACCTACCCCAATTTAGTAGTAAACCCACCCCAAACGTTACAAACGTTACACCCCATTTGATCACCTGTCAATCAAACCTGAGGCTATAGGGGGTGTTTTTCCTTTGATCTTTGCCGCAAACCCTTTGTTTTTGGAAGGGTTTGAGGGTAATTAATCATGATTAATTAGGGTAATTAATCATTGATGATTAATTGCTTTTTGGTTGATTTTTTGTGGGAATTGACAGGTTTGATGTTTGTGGTGTCTGGGTGGTCTGTTGCAACATTTGGAGGGTAAAAAAATTCAAAGCAATATTTGGAATTGCGGTAAAATACTAGAAGAGAGTCAGAAGGTTTTGGATGGGTGAAAATGCGGTAAAATCATAAAGAAACGAATTTTTTTGGTTTTTCAAGTATCTATTGGGCAGAGGTAAGGGAAATATTTACAGAAATGTTTTGATTGATTGAGAGAAGATTAGGTACAGTGATGAGTATAAGAGTGTGATTGATAAGTGATAGGGGTGGGAAGTTATAATTAAAATATGAAAAGGTTTAATGGGTGTATTTTTGTTTAATAATATAAGCCCTTTATAACATTTTAAAAAATAAAAACCCCGAGCGGAATCGAACCTTCACCTTCGTATTTTTTCGTATGCGGGAATCTTATCCATTCGGACATAGAGTTTACATAAGTTTAATCAAATAATTTGATTTTTTATTTATATTAATATCTCTGTGTATTTTGGGGGAGGGGTGGAGGATTTAAAATTTCGAAATTTCGCAATTAAAATTTAAAAAAATATTAAATTTAAATAAAATTTAACTAATAATTAAATAAAAATGGAGGAAGAAATAAAATTTTGAAATTTTTACAAAAAAATAAAATGATTTTAAAAAAAGGGCGGAAGTTCAAATGTAAGGGGATTTAATCAAAATGCCAAATTTCAAAATTTGGCGGGAATTTAAAGTTTAAAAAGTTGGCGGGAATTCAAATTTTAAAAATTGGCGGGGATTCAAATTTTAAAAATTAGCGGGGATTTCAAAATCAAAAAAAAATTTAAAAAATATTAAATGTAAATAAAATTTAGATTAATTAATGAAAAAAAGTGGAAGAAATAATTTGTCAAAAATTCACAAAAAATTTAAAATGATTTGCAAAAAAGGGTGGAAGTTCAAAAAGTAAGGGGATTAAGCAATTATTTAAAAATGTCAAATTTCAAAACGACAAAATGCCACACTTCGAAATGTCAATTTTTGTGTCTAATTCCATTAATAAAAACCTTTAATTAATATTAAATTAATAAACACTCATTGTCAATCAAAATTTGAACACCATTAAATAATTTAAATTATTTTATTTTACAATTTATCCCAAATTTTTCTACTTAAAATTTTATTCTATAAATTTACGCAGCTTAATTTCGCATTTTCATTAAATAAACTTAAATTTATTTAAACTAAATATGGTTCATATTCCCTTTGATCCGCGAACAATCGGATACGATGATCATCATACAGCTATCAGTCAAATAGGAGGAGGGACTGATGAAAATTATTACTATTTTCGTGGACTCAATCCTTATCAGCGTGGATACGGAAGACAAACAGGTGGAGGAGTTGGAGATGTACTTAGAAATTTTTGGCGATTCCTTTTACCTTATGCAAAACGTGCGGGAACAGCTGTAGCAAAAGAAGCTTTGGATACAGGCGGAAGAATTTTAGAAAGTGTGGGAAATCCAGAATATGACCAGGAAGCAATTAAACCAAATTTTAAACAAACAGTGATTAGTGAGGGAAAACGCGGATTAGACAGATTACTTGAAAAGGGTGGAATGCCAAAACAATTTGGAACCGGATTGCAAGCGAGAAATAGTATAAAAGGACTCAAAAGAAAACGTAGACCTCATTCAACATTTTCAAAAGAAAAAAGTCATCAAATAATTATTGGTAATAAACCATCTAATAGCTTAAAAAAGAAACGTCAAAAAATAGATACATTCGGTCTTTATTAAATAAAAATGTCTACTCATCAAAAAATTGATCGCGATTCTGGCAACGCAATAACAAATGCTTTATCATTTTTCGAAACTCCTCATACAAATGTTAGTATTAGCAACTCATCATTTATTGAATTACTCACACTTAACCCAGTAAATATCACCCCTTTTCATTTCAAAATCCACGCAAGCACAAATTATATTGATTTGGCCAAAACTTATGTTTTTACTGAACTTAGGATTAAAAAAGAAGACAAGGATGGGAAACTTGTTGACATAGGAAAAGATGATAATGTGGCAAGCGTGCAGCTTATAGGACATAC